TAATTATAATAATTAACACACTGTAATTTAGTGGCGTCCAAATAAAACTGAAATTTGTTTTCCAAGTTTTTACCTAGTCTATTAAAAATAATGATTTTGCTTTTGTTAATATTTACTTTTAAATGCCAATTGTCACAGTAATTTTGGACTGCATCAATGCACTTTTGTAACCCCTCTTGGGTTGTAGAAAACAATAGCAAGTCATCAGCATATAACAAACAATTGAGCTTCAAGCCATTTAAATCAACAGGGTCAAAATTTTTAACATCATCACAGATTTCATTAACAAAAATATTAAATAGTTGAGGACTAAGGTTACACCCTTGTTTTACCCCTCTGCATGAATTGAAATATGGAGTAATCCCTGCACTCAATTTAATGCTATATTTAGTGTTTTTATAGATAGCTTTAATAGCCTTATAAAAATTTCCTCCCACACCTAACCGAAGAAGTTTATATAACAGCCCTTCTCGTCAGACTGAATCAAATGCTTTGGAGAAATCAATAAAACATGAAAACAAATAATTCCCTGATTTTTTCAGTTTGCAATTGACATATTTATTAATTAAGGATTTAAGAATATAAATATTATCTGTTGTACGATGGTTTTTCTTGAAGCCAAACTGATTATCCACTATTTGATTAGTTTCTTGTAAGTACTTAGTTACAATATATGTTACAGACCATTGGAGAAAAACCCTTGAAACAAAGGGGCAACATACTGTGCACTAAAATATGTAATTAAATCAGCTTGCAGTGCAATTAACACTTGAGAAGTGCATGATATGGTGGATGATTGCAGTAATGGCTACTCTGCTTACGTTTCTAATTCACAACTCATTTGAAAACTGAAAGTAGGTGAAATTCACTCTACAAGATGGAGATGAAGATTAGAATCACTTGAGGGAACAGTATGTGGTACAGAATGTCTGTAAGTTGATGTAAATTAGGCCACACCGACTTAATTTTATGGGTGACATCCGCGCATGCATTAGTTTTCGCCTATTCTCAAAAAAATCAAATCTCTGACGATGAGTCTCAACAGAACGGTTTTCTGTCCGGAACTTGCCGACTCATATTATCGCAAAGCGTCGACTTGTTGTAAAACTCGTTTTGGACTACCTTAAAACCTGCCAATTTTGTCGTAAATGATCTTCTGCATATGCGTATTGTGTTGCCGGGAATTCCAACATGCCGACCACGCCACCAAAATACGTGAGCATAAAGTTCAGAGGAAAACTGAGGGATTGTTGTAGACTGGTACACAATTGACGTCGGCCATGGAGATGTGGCGTTTACACAGCTATACGAGAGATTGGTAGCGGCAAGTGAGTTTCGCCCAGACAACTTTAAGGACATATTGTCCAGAGTGGCTGTCCCGCGATGCAACGATGAGAGAAATGGGAAAGGAGTGGAGGTGTATGGATGTGATAGCTGAGAAGGAAGAAAAGACCTGTTGTTGAAGAAATCGATGTATAGGGGAGTGCAAGAGATCTTTTTTTTGTTACTTGAGGTTGAGATCCCTAGACATTAGACACTAGACATACTTGCAGGGTTAACATGTAGGCTTCATTTCACCTGGCAACACAGTTAAAGCTAACCCCAGCTGTGTAGAGAGGAGCAAGCAAGGACATTTCTGTATCATTGCAATGTTATTGTCATAAAGTAGTGATATGTACATTCCGCCTTGACTTGTACTGAAAATGATGTTCATGCTGTACCTTGAATGCAGTCTTTATGACTGAAGGTACTTCATCATGACTACATGTACATGTACTAGAGCTTGTCTGAAATGGTTATACCTGTGACAGTAATACATAACGAGATGTGTACATCAACATGTGCCTCCTACAAATAAAGACTTCTAGTTGTTTTTTTAATACACTCTGTTCTGTGGTTCAATTCGTAATACAAGCTCCGTAGTCCTGTGGTTTTAGCAGCATTTTATTTTACAGGATTTTTTTTTCACCCTCTCGCATTAGTTTTGTGGTCTCCAGAGGATGTCATCCATAAAATTAAATCAGTGTGGCCTTATGTAGAAACCTGGTACACG